ATGCTTTAAAACATAAAAAGCAAACCAAAACAAAACAAAGAATCTGGTTACCAGGGTAAGTGTCCCTCCTCTGCTTTTCTTGTAGAAAAGTACCTCATGATAAAAACACAGAAGCACATGAGTGGTAACTGAAAAGCATTGCTTCCTTTTAGAAAACCACGAGTATTTGCATAACCCACTCTGCTGTCTGGGAAATGATTATCTGCTCTGTCAGCCCCTGAGGACTTTTTTTTTTTTTTTTTAAGATTTATTTTATTTGAAAGACAGAGCTAGAAATGGAGAGAGGTTTTCCATCCGCTGGTTTGGAGCTGAGCCAATCTGAAGCCAGGAGCCAGGAGCTTCTTTTGGGTATTCCATGTCGGCACAGAGGCCCAAGAATTTGGGCCATCTTTCTCTGCTTTCCCAGGCCATAAGCAGAGAGCTGGATCAGAAGAGGAGCAGCCAGGACGTGAATCATGTGGGATGCCAGCGCTACATGCTGGGGCTTCAACCTGCTGTGCCATAGCCTCAGATCCAGTCCCTGAGGACTTTTGACATTAGTTTGTTTATATTTTTATAGATGAAGAAAGTTATAAACTTGAAGATGGGTATTTCTTTAATTCTTCAAATAGTGAAAATAGATAGTACAGATCTTTCAAAAGTCAATAGAAACATGACATTTTCTCTTTTTTATTTTTTTTTAAAGATTGATTTATTTATTTGAAAGTCAGAGTTACACAGAGAGAGAAGGAGAGGCGTGGGGGGGGTGTCCTTCCATCTGCTGGTTCACTCCCCAGTTGGCCGCAATTGCCAGAGTTGTTCCAATCCGAAGCCAGGAGCCAGGAGCCTCCTCTGGGTCTCCCATGCAGGTGCAGGGGCCCAAGGACTTGGGCCATCTTCCACTGCTTTCCCAGGCAATAGCAGAGAGCTGGATTAGACGTGGAGCAGCTGGGACTCAAACCAGCGCCCATAAGGGATGCTGGCACCACAGGCGGTGGCTTTACCCACTACACCACAGTGCTGACTCCTGTTTTGTGTTGTTTTAATCATATGAATGAAATTAAAGACTTTTGTGCTAGCCACATCTGCTAATTCTTTGCCTTTTGTACTACTGAAGTCTATTAAGGGTAAATACTCCAAATAAACTGATTTGAGAATTGGAAAAGAAGTTTACTGGCATTTCTATTGTCACTCTTACAAGATATTTACTGCAGTAGAAGCCATAGCCTGGCTGTTTCTGTTTGTTATTTGTTCAAGTAGATTGCCAGAGATAGTGTGAGCAAGAGATTGATATAATGCATTGTTGTAATTTTGCTGGGCTCCAATCCTGGAAAAGCAGATTGATGTTGAAATTCTTGTAATTAAGTACATGTCTCCCTGATAGTGAAATAATAGCCACCTTCCAGGTTATTTATCGATATTTATTATCTAGCTACTGCAACCATAATTTATTAAGCTTTGCATTGCTGAAGCCTGGCAGTACTTCAGGTAAATTTGCATAAGCCATAGCAGATGATTTTTCATATTCCTTATTTTTCAGGTAGCAATAGCTTGAAACTGTTTCTTTCATTTTAAGTTTATACATAGCTACACATTTTTCCCCCACTCAATCGTCTACCTCACTGTGTTTTATCTGGAGTTGTAATACATGAGGAATTATCTTGACTTATCCTTCTGCAACCTTGTTGCATTCAAAGTCAGAGTGTTCACAGTCACAGCAGATATACTAAGACTGGTGCATCATCATTGCTAATGTTTCTAGGGTGCCACGTATGCTCATTTAATCCTCATAGCAATCCTATGAATACACACATGACTTCGTAATTCTTTATCTGAAACTTGCCATCAGATGTTTTCAGAATTCCACAGTTTTTAGAGTTTAGAAAGGAAATCAATGCATATGCTATGTTTTCTACAAAATTTCCTGGGGGCCTGGGAAAGCAGCTCATAGGTAAGCCCAGCATATTTCTGCAGAGAAATATATGGATAGTCTCACTAAATAGAAGAAATAAAAGCCACGGGTACTCGCCTATTAATTCAGATCAGGTTTTGCCAAAAGATGAGTTTGCGTATCACCTTATGAACATTTGTTTTTTGTGATCTCTTTAGTATTTTGGAATTAAAATTAAGGAATGTATACTCGTACTTTTTTTAAAGATTTATTTATGTATTTGAAAGGCACAGTTACATACAGAGGGAGAGACACACAGAGAGTGCGTCTGTCTGCTGGTTCCCTCCCCAGATGGCTGCATTAGCTGGAACTGGGTGAGGCTGAAGCCAGAAGCTTCTTCTGGGTCTGCCATGTGGGTGAAGTGGTCCTAGGACTTGGGCAACTTAACCCACTGCGCCACAGCACTGGCACTAGCCCTGCACTGTTACAACCCTTTTTATAAATGAAGGGAGACAGGCCCAGATAGGTCAGGTAACTTCTCCCATATTACATAGTAAGTGGCTGAGCTAGGCTGTGACTATGTGGCTATTTAAAAGGATAGGTTAGATCTGTGCATACTGATATCATGATAGGTCCATGATAACTTATTGAATTAAAAAGTTGCAAACAATAATGTATATAATGTCCCATTTTGTGAAAAAAAAATTTCTATCATTTTCTGTAAACATAGAGACAGAGTTTACCTTTGATGGGATTTCTGAGACCAGGAGATAATTTGGACTATCTTTACATTTTTACCTTTCATACATCGGTTTGATTGGTATAAAAGTGTGTAAAGGGGGGCCGGTGCTGTGGCATAGTGGATAAAGCCACCGCCTGTGGTGCCGGCATCCCATATAGGTGCTGGTTTGAGTCCCAGATGCTCCACTTCCAACCCTGCTCTCTGCTATTGCCTGGGAAAGCAGTGGAAGATGGCCCAAGTCCTTGGGCCCCTGCACCCATGTGGGAGATCTGGAAGACATTCCTGGCTCCTGGCTTCGGATTAGTGCAGCTCTGGCCGTTGTGGCCATCCGGGGGGTGATCCAGTGGCTGGAAAACTCTCTCTCTCTCTGCCTCTGCCTCTTTGTAACTCTGCCTTTCAAATAAAATCAATTTTTTAAAAAAAGTGTATAAAAGGAATTGGAGAAGAAGAACAGGTAATATATTTTCTCTCGTTTCAGAAAAATAGTAGAAATCTTGGCACTCTCTCTTCCTGCCCTTACAATAATGGAGAACCCCATGTATTATACTGGTCATTTGGGCAGTAATTACTCTTCTGGTTTCAGTAGATAGTCAATTTTCCTCAAAGCTATGTAAGCATAATATTTCATACAGAACAAATGGAGTTTAACAAGATGAAATAGCACAAGTGGAAACAAAGTTCAAACTATGTCAGGATTGAGGCTGACAGACATTTAGCTAGCAGTGTTGTAAATTAACTGACAAAATAGAGCAGCCAACAGGAATGTGAATGGGATCTTCAGCTACATATCAAAAGTACAGTATTTAAAATATGAGGGTTAGTCAACTCTCTCCTAATCCAGGCTGTATCTGGAGTCTTGTCTTCTGGTCTGATGGCATATTTTTTTTTAAAGATTTATTTTATTTATTTGAAAGGTAGAGTTACACAGAGAGAAAAGGAGAGTGGGGGGAGAGAGAAAGAGACAGAAAGAGAGAGATTGTCTGAGACAGTCTTCCATTTGCTGGTTCACTCCCCAATTGGCCTCAACTGCTGGAGCTGTGCCGATCCGAAGCCAGGAGCCAGGAGCCTCCGCTGGGTCTCCCATGTGGGTGCAAAGGCCCAAGGACTTGGGCCATCTTCCACTGCTTCCCCAGTTCATAGCAGAGAGCTGGATTGGAAGTAGAGCAGCCAGGACTGAAACTGGCGCTGATGGCATATTTTAAAGGGATGCAGAAATGTGAAGTCTTTTCCAGGTAGATTGGTCTAGGACCTCTAAAACACCAGTGAAGTTATTATGCAAGTTTAACGGAGTGTTTGGCCAGCTTCTAGCAATATTTGGCTATTGTGCCTGCTTGAATGAGTAATGTTAGTTCCGGATGCATTGGCTGCCAGCTGCATGCCACATGCTGAACTGTGAAGCATTTGGGATCCAGAGATGAAAGGACATAGACTCTGCCTGTCCAAGTGTAGTAGAGGACACAGATATGTGCATGGCTGTTTCTAATACAGCAGGGTACACAGCACAGGGAAGTCACGTCTAGTTCTCCCTGTGGTGGTGGTGGGAGATGAGAGGGTGAAGCCTGCACAGAGAGCAGGTTCTGAGCTGGGTTGGGAAAGAGAAATTTATCTCAGTAAATGAAATAAGAAGATTAAAAAAGGACAGCATGGATTTTTTCGAACATTTGAAAGGATGCCAGGTATGAGAAGGGTGGAAGTTTCTGAGTACAACCTCAGAGGCTCAGGGACCCACTGGAGTAGGGTACAGGAAGATGGATTTAGCTTCAGTCTTATAACTTTTTAGCAGAACTGTCCAAAGGCATCTTCGGAATGGTCAGAGTTTCCAGTGCCTTGATGTACTAAATCACAGGCAAGGGAACTGCTTGTCAGCTGCCGCGCAGGAGAGGAGGGTGGCGGGGAGCAGAGTGGAATGCTGAAGGGCAGCTCCTAGAACAGACATTTCCCTCTCCCTGCTCGGTGACTATCTAGGGCTGTTAGGATAGCTAGCATTAAAGTGCTCTGAATGGCTCCTGATACAAAGCAAGTGCCAAATGATTTTCCAATAAATACTCACTCTTATGGTTGATTGTCATTGGATGGGTGGTTTGTTGAGGTACTCTGTAAAGTTCTTCTCACTTTGAAAGGCTTTGTATTTCTAATCATGTAATCGTATAATGATGTTACTGTGAATTAAGAAGATGGTGATGAGGTAACTGAAACAAAAAATCAAAATCGGGATAGTAATTCAGCAGCAAAGAAATGAGTAAAACCCTGTGTGCTTCATTAGAGTTCTAGTAACTGGATCTGTCCTTTTGGAGCCTTGGAATCCTCCCCCTCCCAGCCCCCATCGGCAGTGTTTAACAAGGGCCTGGCACTCCATGATTCTAGCTCTTGCTTTTCTTTGTCTCATAGATAAAGTGGCCTTGTGAATGCCTGCCCAAACATCAGATTTGAAGATAATGGATGAAGATCGCGTAATTGAAGAAGTCTTGGATAAGTTTGTTAATTCTCATGAGCAAACATATGAAGAGTTTCTGAGCACTTTTACTTATCTTTCAAAAGGTAAAATGGGGAAGTAAGTTTTCTACAATAGTAGAGATCAAGAATGTTTAAAGAAATGTGGTTAAAATTTTTTTAAAAGATTTATTTATTTGAAAGGCAGATTTATGGAGAGGCAGAGGCAGAGGCAGAGAGAGAGAGTGAGAGAGTCTTCTATCTTCTGGTTCACTTCCCAATGGCTGCCATGGCCGGAGCTGTGCTGATCCAAAGCCAGGAGCCAGGAGCCAGGAGCTTCCTCTGGGTCTCCATCTTCTACTGCTTCCCTAGGCCATAGCAGAGAGCTAGATCGGAAGTGGAGCAGCTGGGACCCAAACTGGTGCCCATATGGGATGCCGGCACCGCAGGTGGTGGCTTTACCTGCTGCACCACAGCACTGGCCCCAAAAGTTTTAACATTTAAAATTTGTACATATTTATGGATTACTTTGTGATGTTTCAGTACATGTATATATTATGTAATGTCCAGTCAGGTTGCATTTATCCTTTCAAACACTTAGTTTTTCCTTATAGTAAAAACTTCCAAAATTCTATCTTCTAGTTTGTTTATTTTTTCATAGTGAAAGATACAGCACATTAACTTTATTTACAGTCACCATGTTGTGCAACAGAACCCCAGAACTTCTTATTGTTAGCTAGCTATAACCTAGAACTCGTAAATCAATCATTTCCCATTCCTGTCTTCCTCCTTCCCTCCCCAGCCTCTGATAACTTCAATTATACTTTTAAATTCTATTCTGAGGGTGAGATCATGTGATATTTGTCTTTGTGTTCTTGTATTATTTCAGCTAACATAATGACTTGTAATTCTTTCTGTGTTGTTGGAAATGACAAGATTTAATCCCTTTAAAAATTTATGTTATTTTATTTATTTACTTATTTGAGAGGTAGAGTTACAGACAGAGAGAGGGAGAGACAGAAAAAAAAAGGTCTTCCAAGTGTTGGTTCACTCCCCACATGGCTGCAATGGCCAGAGCTGAGCCGATCTGAAGCCAGGGACCAGGAGCTTCCTCTGAGTCTCCCACACGGGTGCAGGGGCCCAAGCACTTGGGCCATCCTCCACTGCCTTTTCAGGCCAGAAACAGAGAGCTGGATCAGAAGAGGAGCAGCTGGGACATGAACTGGTGCCCATATGAGATGCTGGCCCTGACGGTGGAGGCTTGGCCTACTATGCCAACAGCACCAGCTCCCAAGATTTAAATGTTTTTTTGTGAATGGGTAATATTCCCACTGTGTGTATGTGCCACATTTTCAAGATAAAGAATTTGCTATAAATGCATGTCTTTGATGCCATTTCAAGAAGACTATTTCTGAGCATTCAGCCCATTCCTTTAATCAGGTCATTGTTAATAGGCATTTGTAACTAATATATATAAATACCAATGCCTTTATACATCCAAAAATTGCATTATAGACTCAAAGTCATTGAATTTGATAATAAAAATGACCTGAGGGCAGGCATTTTATGTGGCTGATAAGATCCACCTAGGAAGCCCACATCCCGTATTAGAGTACCTGGGTTTGAGTACCAACTCCGCTGCTCCATAGCCCAGCTTCTGGCTAAGGTGACGCTGCGAGGCGGCAGATACTGGCTCAAGTAGTTGGGTCCCTGCCAGCCATGTGGGGGAGCTGGATTGAGTTCCCAACTCCTGGCTTCAGCCTGACACAGTTCTAGCTGTTGGAGGCATTTGAGGGGTGAATGAACGGATGGGAGCTCTCTGCTGTCTGTCTGCCTGTCTCTCCCTGTCATTCTCTCTTTCAAATAAATAAAAATTCAATCAAAAAGTTAAAAAATGACCTGAGAAATAATTTAGTATAATCCTTTTAATTTGGTTTTTTAAGAAATGCAAGTGAAACAGCAGAAGCTTTATTGAAAGCTTAGGAAATATAGGTATGAAGTTATACCGTACACATTTGAATCCCAGCCTCAACCTCATACTATCTGTGTGATCTTGATGAAGTACATATTCAGTGAAGGGGGAATAGAAATAGTGCCGCCATCAAACCTTGATAAAATATTAATTGAGATAATTGGTATAAAGCTGGTTTGCAAGGTGGCCGACACATTGTGAGTACTTCTTAGATGCCAGGTGTTCCTATTGTTATTGTGACGCTGCCGCCGCTGCTGCCGCTGCTGCTGCTCCCTAGGCAGTGGTTTTTACATACCCGAAACAACTGTTCATACTCAAAGTGTTCAGCTGAAGCTGAAAGACCAAACCAATATTGTGTGTTTCATTGTGTGCTTTATTGTTTTCTAATTGAGTCAACATTTAAAAGCCGAGTAATTTTGCTTGAAAATCTTGATTTGTCAGTTTTCTCTGCACCAAGTGAGAAGATTGTTGTCTGTTCCTTGTGCAGTGGTAATAGCCACCAGCACTCAGGAGCTCTTGCCCTGTGGGCTCCCTGGTTTGTCATGCACTCCGGCACTTACACTGTCTGAAAATGTGGGCATACGTTTTCTGCTTCATTCACTTAACTGGCTCTGTGGGCATTTGAGTTGTAATCTCTGTTCTGTGTTCTACTGCAGATTGTCATTGGCTTGCTCTCAACTTGGTCCTTTCTGGGTCGTTGATCCCTGTTTCAGGATCCATGTGAAGCTGTTGCTTCTGCACACAGCTGCACTTGTAGCTCACCTGAGGACCTTGAGAATATGTTGGATTCAGAGCCCACCCCACAGCTCAGCTGGGGCCAAAGAATCAGTATTTTGTAAAAACTCTTCTGGTGATTGTAATGTGTACCCAAGGTTGAAAGTAGGGAGTTTCATAATCTCCGAGGTTAGGGCACTCTTTCATGATTTTCATGACATTTCATGATTTCACGTCATGGTTCATGTGCCCTGAACAAATGTGAAAGAAGGGTAGTTAAAATGAAGAAAAGGAAAAATGATTCTGACCTGTTTCATCATGCAAGATATAGGTTGTATATCCCTAATCAAAAAATCCAAAATCTGAAATGCTGTAAAATCCTAGACGTTTTGAAGGTCGATATGATGCCCAGAAGCAGAAAATTCCATACCTGCCCTCATGTGACAGGTGACAGTCAAAATGCATGTGTGCTACAAATATTGTGTAAAGTTACCTTTAGGCTATATGTATCTAGGTAAATGAGAAACATATGTAAATTTTGAGTTTAGACTTAGGTCCCATCGTTGAGATACGTATATGTATATGCAGCTAGTCCAGAATCTTAACTCTGAGATATTTCTGGTCCCAAGCATTTCAGAGAAAGCGTGCTCAGTCTGTAGAATATCATTAATACCTATTTTGTTTATACTTGAAAAACATGGACTGTGGTTTTTGTTTGCATGTAGGCAAATGGAGAATTCAGGAAATATATAATTAACTTGGAGTTGTCTGTTAATGATATGTTTTCACATGATATGTGGATCAAGTTATTCTTGATAATGGCTAACTCATCTTTTAGTCCATGAACTTGGGTTTAGGAAGATGCTTGTTTTGTTGAAGCATAATGATTTATGATTTCTACTTTCTGGACTCAGACATGGCAGTATGGATGACTGGGGAATGGTGGTAGAAAGAAGGGTAATAGTGACAGAATTTATGGATTTTAGTATGCCAGTGGTATTTTGATACTCCAGATTATTTTGGAAATTATTTGTCAGACTGACTTTATTTTGAGCTAGAACCACAAAATTTTATGTTAGTACTAACTACAGATAAACTCAGTGATATATATATATGTGTGTGTGTGTGTGTGTGTGTGTGTATACATACATACATACACACACAGATGCCAAAGTTGAAAACTGTCAAAATCTGTGCTGTGTTTCCTCTTTGTGTGTCTTTCTCTTGACTCTTGTTCACATGTATCCTACTAACTCCTGAAAGCTTTTCTGCACTGACTTCTAAGTCTGTCAGCACACGTCCTGGCTGGTAGAACAGCCCAGGAGGGATTGAACCTCATCCCTGAGCTTCAGATTGTGCCAAGAGTGACATTTCCAATGTAAAAATAAAAGTGATTTTGTTCTGAGCACTTCAGTCTTTCCTTCTTTATATACATTGCATATGAACATTAGACTAAAAATGTAGAAAGAAAGAGGCAAAAGTAGCAGGTTTGGTACCAGATGAGATGAGATGAGATGAGAGAGAGAGAGAGAGTGAGAGAGACAGAGAGAGGGAGGGAGGAAAAATATGGATTCCAGGAAAAATTCCATTTCAGTGTTTTGGGTTAAATTTACTTAGTTACTGGTAGTCCTGTATATGAGTCTAAGGGAGGAATGAAGAATGTGGTTTTCATTTTGGATTAGTTGAGCTTGAGGTGCCTTCTGGATTAGCTACAAAGAAGCATTCAGCAGAAAGTTGAACATACAGTCCAAGGGCTGGGGAAGCTGTCCAAGCTGGAGAAAAAACAGTTGAGTGTCAGACCACACAGGGCCAAATCTAACTTTATTTTGTACCCTGGAAGAGTAAAAATTTTTTTGCAAGGACTTTGATATTTTGAAGGGGGTTACAGTTTATTTGTTTCTGGGGTAAGGAGTCTTCTGTTTTCCGATTCTGGTGAGATCATTGCATGCTGAGAAGGAAACTGTTGCAGAGGCAGTAGCTTCATTTGAATTCAGTTTGGAGCCTCAAATTGAGCTGAAATAAATGATGACGCAAGTCACATAAACTGCATCTCCAAGCATACTAGTTTTTTCCTTTCAAAATATCCCCAGGCGGCACTTCACATTATAAACTAATGACCTGAAAAAATTCCTCTTAAAGCACAGAGTTGTGAGTGCAAAAATATGTCTTAAATCAGTAATCCCCTCCCCTTCCCCGCTGCCAAACATTTAAATACCTTCTGAGAGACCAAACGGGACTTCAGGGCAGGCCTGAGTTGAGTGATAGCCAGCAGAATCGATCTAGTTTAATAAGGTCATCTCTGTTTATGAAAAACGTCAAAGCTATTTCTTCATAGTTCCTGTTTCATGCCCTTCCTCCCAGGCCCTTCATTTGTCTCCATGTGCTTGCTTGTTTTGCTGCTGGGAGTGAATCTTTGCTCCGT